CTCTCCCTCTCCCTCTCCCTCTCCCTCTCCCTCTCCCTCTTGCTTTCCACAACCACCCTAAGGCCTTTGCAAATGCATTTGCAAAGGTAGACAAGTCTTTGCATATGCATTTGCAAAGGTAGACAGATCTCCTTAACTTCACCTGATGTAATTTCAGCTTATACCTTACACAGCAGACTAAAAGTCACTGCATCTAGGAAGCCCTCCATATAGCACTTCCCTCCTGGGTTTTCATCAGTTCTCTAATTAAATGCCCCCACTGTCCTTCATACTTCCTCTTGAGAACCTGCAGCTTGCTGAGCACCCGTATTCATCACTCTCTGCTTCCTGGTTGTGAGTGAAATGTGGCCAGCACCTCATGCTCCTGCCAGCATAACTTCCCTGTTGTGATGGACTGTGCCTTCAAACTGTGAACCAAAACAAACCCTTCCTCCCTCAATTGCTTTTGTCAGCTATTTTGTCATTGCAATGAAAAAAGTAACTAATACAGACCCTTGTCTTATCGTAATACTTGATTCCTCTTTTCCCTCTACCTGCGTATATCTATCCTGATGTCCTCTGCCTTCCCAGGGCTGCCACACATGTTGCAGAGCCTCAATAAATGCAAAAAAGTAAAGATGTGGTAAGTGAAGAATATGGATTTGGATCCATATTGTCCTTAGACTCCCTCTTTCAAACTCAGAGGGATATTAATATAGGTGCAGATTCAAAGGCCCTAAATGCTCGGTGGTGGACCATTCTGTGCTTCCCTCTGTCCCTCTTTCCCACCCTGAGCTGGATTTGGCAGATTCAGGTGGGTGTGATATGACATGGCCAAGCCAGTCAAGCCTGGGCTTAAGGGCCTGGAATGAGAGAAGTCCTACTGTCTACAAACTCCTATGGGAGAACTGTGAACACCTTCACTTTGTTTTCCTCTCCTCTCAGTCCAATCATGAATAAGCCGCTACTCAAAGCTCATCCAAGTCTCTTTGGAGAACAGAAGAAATATGTGAACTGCCTCCAGTGATTCATCAAAAAAGGAGTGGGGCTGGAGAGATTGCTCAGTGGTTAAGAGCACTGGCTGCTCTTACAGATAACTGGGGTTGGGTTCCCTGTACCAAGATGGTGGCTAACAACCATTTGTAATTCAAGTTCCAGGGAATCCAATGCCCTCTTCTGACCTACATGGACATTGCATGACACAGGTGCACTTACATACATGCAGGCAAAACACTCATACACATACTGTATTAACTATTTTTCTGTTCCTGTGATAGAAACAATGACCAAAGCAACTTACAGAAGGAAGAGTTTATTTGAGCCTATGGTTCCAAAGGGGCAAGAGTTCATCATGGCAGGGAGGCATGGCAGCAGAGGTGGCTTGAAGAGGAGTGGAAGCTAGGCTCTACATCTTCAAGCAGGCATAGGAAACAAGAGAGCTACTGGAGATCCAGCAAGGCTTAAGAACTCTCTAAGCCCACCCCCAGTGACGTGTTTCCTCCAGCATGGCCACACTTCTAAGACCTCCCAAACCAGCACCACTAACTGGGGATGAAATGTCCAAATACTTGGAGCCTATGGGGGACATTTTTATTCAAACCACCACACATACAATAAAAATGAATAAATAATTTTTTAAAAGGTGATATGCAATGGGCCAGCTCTTCATGCTCAGAATGTCTTTGTGACAGAGGCATCCACATACCTATACCCCCCTCTAGCCAAACCCAAAATCCAAGTTGCATTGCAGAACAAGCCCTTAGCATGCAAGGGAGTCTTTCCAGTCTTCAGAGGATAATCTGTGTCGAAAGCAAAAGAGAAAGACGGTTTTGGCATGAGCCTTCCTCGGTCTTACTGGCTGAGTAGTGAGTCGCAGTCCACTGCTAAGGTCAAAGTATATTTAGCCAGCAGCAGTTAAGCTGAAAAGTTTTAAGTTGAAAAATATCAAGTGGCCTGACTAATCGTCTCCAAAGGCGGTAAGGGAAGGGAGAAAATGAAATGGATCAAGGGCTAGGAAAGAAAACACCAACAAATCATCTAACACCTCATCCCTAGGTGGAAGCAGGGGAGGGGAGGAGCCAACAGAGGAAGAGCAGTAGATGAGGAAGAAACTGAGGCAGGGTAGGCAGTGGGAGTGGGGCTGGAGGAGGATGCCAGCCTTCTGGCCTGTGCCATTCCTGTATAGCCTGACTCCTAGTGGGCATCTGGAAAGGAGGCCTGGCCTCCCTGAGGCTACCATCAGACTCTCAGACACCATCAGCCATGTGCTGAGTCAGGCAGCCACCTAACAGAGTGGTGTGGGCCTAGTGGGGTGGATCCACTGCAATCCTGGCCCCATCCCACGCAGACCCTCCTGCCTCTCTGCTTATAAGCAGCAGTGGCTCCCAGAGTAACACCCACATCCCATCCCCCCAGCAGACCTGGAACCACCATTACCTCCAGGTGGCCCTCCTAGAAGGTGACTCCTGCATATACTCTCTCTGATGAACACCACAAAGCCTCAAGTATCCATCCCTTAAAACCAATGTCCAAAGCAGACTGAGTTTACCTCTGCCATCTCTCACAAAATATGACTGCCTAAGTGGACAGTCTGTGACTGGTTTTACTCATATACCATATCCTTCCCAGATCTGAACCCTCCTCCAGCCCCAACATGCCACACTCATCATGCCCTTAGGTCTTGGCACATGCTGCTCCC